TACGTTTGACAACGCTACTGTTAATAAGGTAGTTATCGATAAATTGTGCAGAGTACTGCAATCCGATTTCGGTGATTATTTGTTTCATATTCGATGTGTATGCCATATTTTTAATTTAATAGTACAAGACGGTTTAAAACATATTAAGAATGAAATTCAAAAAATTAGGGATGCACTAGTGTATATCATGATTTTACCTAACAGAAAACAAGTATTTGAGGAATTTTGTGCCGAACCTGAGGTGACGCATATGAAAATATTTATTAGTGACATAATGTATAAATGGAACTCAACTTACTTATTATTAAAATCATGCGAATGTTTTGAACATTTAATAACTGAATTTTATGACAATAGGCATATTAGAAACGATGGCGATACTATTTTGAATGATACTGATTGGATGTTAGCTTTTAAAATTAAAAATGTTTTGACAAGTTCTTATGATTCAACAAATATTTTGTCTGGAGTTTATTATTTCACTAGTTGTATGGTACTTGAACGTTTTTATATAATTGTTACGGCTTTTCATATATATAAAAATGACCCCTATTTTAGTTCAATTATATATTCGATGGAATTAAAGTTTAGAAAATATTGGGAAGACTTACCTATGTTATTTCTGTTAGCATGCATCATAGACTCTCGATGTAATTTATCGGGTACTAAATTTGTAATTGATCAGATTTCAAGAACTTTAACTTTTAATGTACCTATCACTTATAGGAATTTAGAAGAAACTTTAAGTGAAATGTATGAACAATATGCTGAATAAATGGGTACAAATATTAATCGGGTATCCTTTGGCTCTACACCTACTCATCCCATTGATATACCAGACAGTGTTCTAAAATGCGAAAAAAGGCGCCGCGTACGCGGGCATTAGCTTGAAGCGTCGGCAAAACGCGTCGCATTCAAGAAATGCGAGTAACAATGCGGTCAACATCTTTGTTGACCACTACAATGCGCACAAAAGCGCTATAATGCACGCAAAGGCGCGCTTTTTTCTTTATTTTTGTCTAAAAAGAATTTTTATTTATTTATTTTCCAAATTCCAGCCCACTAATTAGCAGGTCCAGCCCACTCACTGGCAGACCCACGAGGCATACGACTTCTTAACTTGGCCAATTCATTTATAGGCAGAAGTTCTTACACTTGTTCTATAGGATTCCGATGTGGGATCCCTTTTTTTCTTCAAGGCGAAGCAAAATTCGATTTCACAAGAATCACAACTCATCTTCCCCAAAATTTGCTTGCTCTTCCTTCAAAGATATA